ACGTGCTTGCAGAGTTGGCGCCTCTACTAGTGATCTACACTTATTGCCCAATAGCCACCAGGTTCGGGGTCTACTTTTTGCACGGTCCATCTTCGTGCTTGCGTCCACTTCGGTGTTGGTGGGGCAATCTACTTCCCGAGTGGGTGTGTTCTGGCACGTAGAGAATCTGCGATTGTGGGGTGGTTGGTGGGGCAATCTACTTTCCTCCTGGTGCGTCGGCTCTAGGGCGAGGTGGAGCAGGGTGGGGCAGTGGGTGGGGCGGCATGGGGTGTTCTGGCACGTAGAAATGCAGCTTCGGGCGGTGTGGGGCAGAGCATGGTGGGGCGGGCTGGGGCGGTTCGGCGGCACGGCGGGGTGTTGTGGCGGGTCAAAATCATCTGATGTGATCGCTCCTCCGGTATCATGGGCTCTGCCCGCTTGTGTGCCAGGTCCTTGTGAATTAGAGATGGTGACTGATGGTGATGTCTCCTGGATTGGTATTCTTGTGATGGTCGGTGATTAACGCAATTTGTGAAGTTTTGGCGGGAAAAGTTTTATCCTTTCCATGAAGACTGGCATATTTCCACATGGAAGATATAGAGCAAACCAGCAATCAAAAAACAATGCCAACATGCTATGGGGTCCACAACTGAGCCAATTCAGCATCCTGTTGCGATGGCCACACGGCCCTGCCTTGAACTGCTTCAGAAGGCGGCCGGCGCCAAAGATTCGCTTGTGTAGGTCCCACTCCTCCAAGGCAGGAGTGTTGTCTGCCGTCATGTGAGCTATAGTCTGAACTCCTAGAGTATCCCCCTTAATAACCCCTCTTCAGGAGTTTAGACAATAGGTCATGTGGTTGAGGGTCTCTCCTAGCTGGATATCCAATTCCGATCCCGGGCATTCTCACCAGGGGCTTGTTGCTTGCCACTAGGGTTTTGTAGCCCCAAGATTGGGTTCGGCACAAAGTCGGACCTACCCGTGACATAGCTCAATGTTACATGAGCCATAGTCTGAACTCCTCGTAACCTCCGTAATAACCCCTGTAGTAATTCCCTATATAACCCCTTAAAGGAGCGCATTGAGGAGTTGAGATTATGGCTCACATGAGCCGGCATGGTTCTGCACAAGACAATCTCCTGCGCAAAGAACAGCTCCATCAAAGCCTGCCCAGGAGACGTCTGGCAACCGTGGAGCCCGTTGCGGACTTCAAATAAACGGCATGGGTATTTCCAAGCATAAGCGCCCCCAGTTTTGACTTTACTACGGGGCTTTGCATAAACAAGGCTCCAACATGGAACCCAATATCGCTGTATCCTTCTTCTTTGGGACTCCCAAGAGGGGACCCTAGACCCTAAACCATGTTTATATGTACATCTATATATATAAGTACATGTAGATGCGTATATACGAAAATAAATAGAGAAATACATGTATATATATATATATTAATTATGTTATCCCAGATCCAAGGCCCTCAGCCTGGGCAGGGACGACATTCATGGTGCTTTGGGCACTGCGCTCGACAAAGATCTGCCTGTCAATTGCAGAGACAACGAACACCTCTGTGTCCTAACAGTAGTTTCCCTCTTCGTTTCCACTATTCACGGGCGAGAAAAGTGGAGCATTGCCATGTAGGCATGCGAGCTGGTGACTACAAGGTTGCTTGAGGAGAGCTGACAGGCAGAGTCTCTTTCTACAATGAGTTTGCGAGGTTTAACTGAGGTGCTGCCATACTCCCCAATGTCATCCGTCAGCCTGCCAATTGCAGCCTTCTACACCAATGATGCCTAAGACTGCTCATGTACCTAATTCCAAATCAACAGCCCTTTATTCTCCTTGACTTGGCCCCGCCACGCCTCAGCCCTAAGTGACAAAACCGCTGAACTCCGCCAAAGTTTTCTCAGAAGCCTCACTGAAGGTAATTGTCCACCTATGCCTCAAAGATCCTCAAAGTTGGTACATGCGGTTACTGCTCTCCGAACTACTAAGCTTGTCCTGTTTCACCCCCTTCTGGGAAGCTGGGAGCTGCCATCAGAGCAAGGTGCATTGAAGCACTCCGATGCATAGGCCCAGAATCTCGAATGGCAGGCCACTGCCAAATCTCAGCAATCAGAGCGCTGATCCCGTTATGGACCCTAATCTACTAGAATCATTGATAAGAAGGTCCAAAAAGATACCCCTATTTTTTGGAATCTCCAATATCCTGCGGGCTTCAGTACTTCTTCTGTCAAGCTTTGTGGAGCCCTTTTCTATCAGAAGAGTGGTGGGGTCCATATTGCATGAAAGGCTTTCTTTCTCAAGTTTCAGGACACATGATGACCTCAAGACCGAAAAGCAGCGCAACAAGGCTACAAGTTGATTTCAAGTCGACAGTTGGGTGGTTGAGAGAGCGGTGGTGTAGAGGCCAATGTGCTTGACAAAGTTTATTTGAGGCGAGAATGAGTTCTGCGTGCACAGACTATCGACAGGGCTTGGACGACCCCATTCCTGCTCTTCCATGGCAGCAACAGTCTTAGAATGCACAATTGCAGGGTAACGATCGGATCTCAGCTGGATCTCCAGTGCTACAGTAAACTGGCGGAATGAGAGCAGCTTGTCCCCCAATAGGATTAGATTGGGGGACCCGCGCTGTTTCGACTTGAAGCAAGACACCGGATCTCCGAACTTCTGCAAGTCCTGCAGACTACGGTTGGATGGTTTTCAAAAGTATGGTCCCTTTTTGGGTACCCTAAATATTAGGGGCCGTATTATAATAGGGATCCAAAAAGAGACCATAATTTTGACAACCACCCAGTTATCTTCCAGCGCTTGTCAGGAGCAGCTTGGTTCTATGGCTCTACGAATGCAGTTGGTCAAGTTGCAATGGTCATGCCTGCATTATCTCGGCGGAAGGCCGGAGCACTGTTGTGGTCAGACACAGAAGCCGCAAACCAAGACTTGCAGCTGCTGAAAGACTCCTGCTGCAGACTGAAGATCGATGTCGCGTTTGTCCTTCGGGATGTGTGGATGCCGCTGCAGCAAGTGCTTGAGAGATTTGCCATGTCTACTAGCCGTCAAGATGTCAGTGTGAAAGGTGCGCATGCCTCGCTAGCAAGACTTTCAGCCCGGCGCCATTTAGGCTGTGAATCAAAACCACGTTTTGTCGCGGGCGCCCCCCCCCCCCTCACCCCTGTTACATACCCCTTTGTCACGGCCTGTTGTTACATACCTTCGTCGCGAATGCTTGGCGCAGGTATGCCCTATAAAAAAAACGTTGTTGCAAAGGGGCTTGTCGCAAGCCAGG